AGAGCTGGGGGACGTCTCATTTTAATCAGAAATGTGCGGGCTACAATCATGCAACATTAAGAAAAGGTTTTGGTTATTTTTTAAAGTTTCGAAAAAACTGGTTTTCCAGAAAACCGATCTTTGAAGATCTAGCAGCAGTCATGATGATATTCGGAATTAGCATGGTTGATTACCTATAGTCAATTAGGTTTTGACTGGAAAACGATTTATAAGTTGGTGGATCTCCCTCGTGAGTAATAGGCATTGGCATAGATCACAATCGAAGGTTGTATAAAACATAAACATAAAGATAAAAATATCGCTGTATTTTCTATCGTCATTATACTGGATCATTTACATTTTCTGGTTTTTAGATATGAACGAGTCTAGAAATGTTTTTCAAGTATTAGAAAGTAAAATATCAAAAATTAATTATAAATCATCAGATAAATATGATCAAGATTATTTTAAAAATTATGGTTTGAAAAATGTCGACATTCGTTCGTATCAACTACATGGAATTAAATGGTTAATTGAACGGTATGAAGCCGATCATGGATGTATATTGAGTGATGAAATGGGTTTGGGAAAAACGTTGCAGGTATACTTTTTCTTTTTCTATATTAAATTAGAAGAAAGAGTTTGCATGATTTATTTTTTTAGACAATTGTATTTTTATTATACGTAAGTAAAATTCGTAAAAGATCACCATCAATTGTTATTTGTCCATTATCTGTAATACAAAATTGGACCAGAGAACTAAAAACGTAAGAATTTTCTAATAGAATTAATTAGTCTAGAAGTTTGTTTTCATCTAAATATCATTTTACAGCTTTGTACCAGATCTGATTGTCCATGTATTTATGGGAACGAAAGAAGAACGTCAAAAGTTAGCCGAAAATATAAAACAATCAACATTTGATATCTTACTAACGACATACGAGGTAAAATGCATACAATACAAAGATTGCATACTTGGTTGTTGTTAAAGAAAAGAAAATCCTAACCGTATCTTGATATACACTAAACAAGTGTATCTGATGACGTCTTGTCTCTTTTTCTTTCTTACAGTTAGTGATAAAAGATCCACATTTTTTCGGTAGTTTTAAATGGCACGTGCTCGTTATTGATGAAGCTCATCGAATTAAAAATGCACAGTCTCTATTACATACAACGTTAGCAGATGTAAGTTCGATACAAGTTTAGTTTCATCACATTATAGATCAATTATATGTCTTTCCTTTTAGTTATCTGTTCCGTTTAACGTTCTTTTGACAGGTTAGTCTCAATCATTTTTCGCATGATATTAAGCTGACATTGTTTCTTTTTTTCAGGCACACCGATTCAAAATAATCTATCTGAATTATACTCATTATTATCATTTTGTGCAAGCAAAGTGTTTCAGCCTCGTCATCATGACGATTTTGTTAAATACTTTAATTTGAGCGCTGAAGAGAGTAAATAGTTTTTATTGTCGTTTGTTTATATCTAATCATCAATATTTAATTCAGATAGTCAAAAATTAATTGATTTATTGAAACCGTTTATATTGAGACGTTTAAAATCAAACGTTTTAAAAGATTTACCGAACAAAATTGAATTGATTCTGTATCATGATTTATCAAAAATACAAAAAGATCTTTATAAAGCATTATTAACAAAAAATCGATGTAAGAGAATAGATTCATTTTTTTTTATTAAAGAATATATAGTTGTATAAATATTTGTTACTATTTTTAGCAATATTTGGCGATAATGAATCGGCGAGTAAAACACGACTTGTTAATATTTTAATGCAGTTAAGAAAATGTATTGGTCATCCGTACTTATTTCCAGGCATTGAACCAGAGCCATTTGAAATTGGTGAACATTTAAGTAGGTTAATGTATTTTACAATTGTACTTGTTTTCACAAATGTCAATATGATTTTTAGTCGAAGCAAGTGGAAAATTATCTCTACTTGATTTACTATTAAATCATTTGTTTAAAAATGGACATAAGGTGTTATTATTTTCTCAATTCACCGGTTCCCTGGATGTTATTCAAGATTATTTAGCCTACAGAGATTATACATATGAACGTCTGGATGGAAGTGTGAGAAGTGAAGAAAGATTTCTTGCAGTGAATAATTTTAATAAAAATGAAGATACATTTATATTCTTGCTAAGTACAAAAGCAGGTTAGATATAATACTCGAATGAAATTGAATATCTTTGTTATTATATTGATATCTTTAGGCGGTGTTGGACTAAATTTGACGGCAGCTGATACGGTGATATTTTATGATAGTGATTTTAATCCACAAAATGATCTACAAGCAGCTGATAGAGCTCATCGTATTGGTCAGACACGGTAAATGAAAGATTTTATTTATTTCTCAATAAATTGAACATTGGTCACCTATTGTTTAGACCGGTTCGAATTCTTCGACTTATATGTCGTAATTCGTTCGAAGGTAAATCTATATTTTGAAAAGTTTCTCGACCATTGATTTATATTTTTATTTATTTTCATATTATAGAAGTTATTTTACGTCGTGCTGAATTAAAATTGAAATTATCCAAAACCATAATGGAAAACAATGAATTAGCTTCTAGTTTAAATACAATAATTGATACAAATACTCATGTAAGCATTTTAAAACATTTTAAAATGATGTAACTCATGTGGTTTCTACTTATAGTTAACAGATGCTTTAAAAATTGGTATTGATAAATTACTTGATGAAACAAATCAAATGGATTATAAAACTGTTGATTTTAATAAATTAATTGGGAAGACCGATCATAAAGGAAGATGGTTGGATTTAGAAGTGGAAAATGAAGAAAAAAAGGAACCTATTGTTGAAAATGTGAATGAAATTGGAGATGATTTGTACCTTTTTGAAGGTGTCGATTATAGACGTCATATAACAGGTGATGATGATGATCAAAAAGTATTCAATAGTTTAATTAACATAAATATTAATGAAAACGATGACACGGCAACATCGAGTAGTCGACGGACCACAGCATCATCATCAACACAAAGACAACGCCGTCAATTAACGGACGAGGAGAAAGAAGCTAGAAAAAAGAAAATGTTAGAGACAAAAGCCAGAAATCAAAGACAATTGGTAAGTAAGAGCTATATACAAAGATTTGATTGTGAAATTTTGTCTGTTTCAACAGGAAGAGGCTGCATTAGAACGTGCTCAAAGAAAAAGAGAAAACTTAAAAGAAAAATGGAAAAACAACAATTATCATTCATGCCGAATATCAATATCCGATACCGAGGATGAAAGCGAGAATAAAAATGAATTTTATCCCACAACAACGCTTGATGATGATGGTAAATGTACAGAAAAGCTCAAATATTTTCGAATACTAGTTGTAGACTTCTACTATTTCTCTGAGTTATAGAACAGTATTCGTATGTGTACGATCATTTTAGAAGAGCCAGTAGATGAACAAAATAAACAATTGAATTATGTAATCGGTGATCTTATGAAACCTAAAATAGGCGATGAAAAAAATGCACTTATTGTACATTGTGTCGGTGTGTATTATGATTATTGATTGTTTTTGTTTCAACAAGAATTCAAAGTTGATCGTTTTTCTTTTTAGACGATTCTGGTCGTTGGTCTTCAGGTGGTGTATTTGGCTCAATCTCAAAACGATCACTGGAACCCGAAAAACAGTATATTTCTATCATATACGTATCAGACTAGAACTGTATATTTTGTTTTTTAGATACATTCTAGCGTCAAAAATGCATGATCTATCTCTCGGTGATGTTCATATTATTAAACTAGATGATTGTGGTGGTGATAGTGAAGATGAAGATGATAATCAAAAGCAATGTGATTTATATGTGGCATTAATTGTTGCTCAACATCGTAGTCATAATGGAGAGTTGTCAGGCATAAAACTACATGCATTAGATATGGGTAAGTTTATTTAATCATTTGAAATTCAATTTTATGTATTACTTTATTTTAGCGTTGAAGGCGTTGTCAACAAAAGCAAAACAATTAAAAGCAAGTGTACATTTACCGCGAATTGGTTATGCAACACAAGGTCAGTTCATTATTTTCTCCAGAAAAAAAAAATGATTAATCAAATGTTCTATTTTTAAATTCGAAGGTTTCAATTGGTACGGTACCGAGAAGTTAATCAAGAAATATTTGTCATCACAAAAAATACCATCCTATGTCTACTATTTTAAACGACAACAAACAACGACAAGTAAAAGATCTTTTAATGAAACAAAATCTGAAGAGGAAAAACATAAATCAAAAACGGATAGTGATGGATTTTATGACGGTGAGATTAGTTGTTGTTCTCTTTCTGTTTTAATCATGTTCATATTGTCGGTTTTTTTTCGTTTTGCAGAAGAAACAGACGAAGATGAAGAACCACCTCGAACAAAATTAAAAATTAATTTACCACATTATTTTTCCGATATTCATATTTATTTTCATGATGTTGATCAACAAGTCATTGAAAGATTGCAACGATTTATCATTGCGTATCTTTTTAAGCAAAATTTTCAATACCCTTATTTTTTTCTTTGATTTTATTTTTAAAAGAATAGCACTAAATTTCCTTGACTCTTATCAGTTTCGATGGTAATATTGACGAACAAATTGATGAGAAAAAAACAACTCATATAATAACGTATGGTGACTGTAAACACGATCTACAGGTACACTATTTCTATCACACTATTGATTCAATCTATTGTCAGACAACTTATTATTAATTGTGTACTTTTAAGGCATTACAAGATGCTTGTCCAACAGCAAAAATTGCTAGCATCGAATGGTTGGAAGAATGTATCAATAAAGGTCAAATGGTTGAAATTGATTTTTACAAAATATAAAAAGTTTGATATTAACCTTATTAAGTTTACTCAACTCCTTTAACGTCTGTGATCTTTTTGTGTCCGTATACAAGACTTTTTTTTTATTTTTTATTGATATATACTTTTTTTTAATGCTTCATGTGCTGTTGTACGAGTCATTTTTGATTCATCTTATTTTGGAGAGAGCCGGTCTTGTAAATGAAACTAAATATTATTGGTTAGACATATTTGATCTTATTGACAAATAAATTCTCAGTATTCTTTTTGTGTATGGAAAAAATTGTAACTCAATTGTACGCTAAGATTTTTTCTTTGTCACAATAACAAATTTATTATATTTTAGATTTAATCTCAAAAGTATTATATTTATTGTTTCATTTATCTAAGAAAAGTGTTTTTTCAACTCACTCTTTTGCTTTCGTAGATAAGCCAATATTTTCGTACATCTGTAAAGAATTGATTATATGAATTAATTACTAAATGGTTAACATCTCGATGACTTAAAAAATATTTTTGATTAGACAATAAATGTTCATTATGATAAAAAAAGTTCTAAGAGTAATACAAAAATAAAATAACAATAAAACAAAATTATCACGAAAAAAAAAAGAGATCTTTTTTAGTTGTACTAAATGTATCGCTAGAACAAAGCATCAGTTCATCGGAAAAAAGTGTTTATCAGAGCGTCACAGATATACAAATATGATGAATAATGAAAACGACACACAAATGGTTGCTTGACAAAGTATGAAACATACAACATTAATAAAAACGAAATATATGCCTGTTTATAAAACAAATGAAAAAAAATAGGCCAAAAAGAACTATCAAAAGAAAGTGAAAAAAACATTTTGAGAGATTCCAATATGTTCCATACTGTAGAATGATCCTTCATTTTGATGAGGATACAGTAAGAAAAATAGATTGAATCTAAAATAAACGATAAACAATTGTTACTAACGAGAGCCAGTTAGGTTAAGAATGCAACGGATATACCTCATTGATATGTAATTCGGTAAAAATAATTGTGAGTATTATTGCAAACCATCCTATTTGATTCGTTTTTATTAAAAATTCCTAAAACAGAAAAAGAAATTTTAATATTTATTAGTGAACAAGAATCATATCATCTACCCAAGTTCTATTAATAAATATCGCAAATAATAAATAATCTTGAATACTTAATGCACATAAATAACGCCATAAAAACATTATTACAATTGTTAGTGGTGAATGAAGAATACTCAATTGTAGGGCCTAAAAATCAACACAGGCACATAGTTTAAAAAACGTTTTAATCACCATAAGTTATCTTAGATTGGTGGAATTAGACAAAAGATCAAATTAAACAAAAATTTGATTTAATTTATTTGATCTTACTTGTTGTGTGACTGTTGATGCTGGCGAGTCAAGTAAATATTCGTACCAACGAAGACTTCTATCCCAAAATATTGCGCTTAAAGAATAACGTAATGCAAATGCTAATACTGTTAAAAATATAGTCTCTTTTGATTCTACCACTGACTGTAATCCTAACGGAACTAATTGAGATTGTGTTTGTTGAACAACTGTTGTTGTTGAGAGTAGTGTTGATGATCGTGAGGATAAATTATTCAAATGATTGGTAAGAGATAATGTGGGTGAAGATAATGGTGAATGTCGGATATTGGTAATTGTTTGATAATCATCGTTTTCAGGGTAAATATCTAATTTTGGATCATTATTGGTTAATACCAATATTGTATCTGTTCCATTAGCTTCGCTTGATGTTGATGTTGAACTAACTGTTCGTGTTGTACGCGATAATGATGGTAAGCGAGATAATAATGTTATATTTGACGTACAAAATGGTGGATTTTTAAAAAAATAAAATAGACAACTAAGAATTAAACACGTTCCACCGATTATGTCACTCAAAGCATCTACATAGTAGCCAAACGAACCATAATACGATTTGTAGCGTTTATTTTTAAGATGTGCACGATAAACAACACCGTCAAGACAATCCAAAAAATTTCTTATTAGAAATAAAATAACACCAACCTGTCGATGAGTTAATAAATTGTTTGATAAAAATTTAATGGAAATTAATGATAAAAAGCAATGAAAAAATGATACTGTATTAGATGATATATACGGAAAATGATCGGTGAAGTGAAGTGTTTGCTCCACGTGCTCAGCTAACGGTGCTCGGATGTAATGAATCTATAATAAAATTGAGAATAAAAAAGATGATCATTATGACATTATTATCGATTACTTACGATATGTCCGACCATAATTTTCTTGATTGACAATGGATTATAAATTTCGACTGATTCTGATGTTGTTGCAGAATTATTGATGTATTTCGCTGTGAGCTTTTGGACAAACGATGATAAATACGATGAAGATGAAAATGTTGAGTTTGTAGAGTTGAGTAGAATTATTGTTGGTACTGAAGAAAAAATATCGTTTCCACTTAAGTTCAATGGCCCTCTGGTACGAATTTTAAAATATAAGATGAAATCCATTAATTGAAAATAAAGTATGACGATAAAGACGAGTGTCAGTGTTGGATTTACAGTTAAAATATGGTAAATCGATCTTCCTATACGAAAATAGCCTTCATGATGAGCATAACGATGATGTAATTGACTTTTTCGTGCATCAGCAGTCATGTTTGTAAATAAATCACTTGTTCTGCATAATATTTAGAAATAATTAGAACAAATATGTCATTATTATGCTCTTCAATGACCTACCATGACAAACAAAATTTGTTAATTTGAACTAAAAGTATTAAGTGTTTACTATCATTACGTCAAAAGCGATGAGTTTAGTAATCATCAAATAGCAGTGATCGATCTTTTTGTCTCCATATTTGACTCTATTATTTTGTACAGTATGAGCATTTGGAGGCAAGAAAATACAAAGGTAGCAAAAGTGCACACGAGAGACAAATTTCAGTAATTCACGTATCGTTTGAATTTTATATAAAAGTCTCGAGAACGAAAGTTTGAAATGACACTAACTAATGTATAACAGGTGGGCCATAAAGAATGTCGGTCTCAGTATTTCATCGATATTTCGCTCAGTTTTCATGGTTAAGGCTTTAACTTTTTTAAAAGATTCGTCGTTTCATTCTTTACAAAAAACATATTGAACATTTTTTTACACACCACAGAACTAAAGGAAAATAGATGAAATACTGCGAAGCTTCAATTTTCATTGCTTTCTAACCCAAAACACAATGAAAAGATATTTATTTTGAACATGAAGCTATGTTGCAATAAACTAGAATCAAAATGTATGTGTTGGTGCCACGAAGTGTGTTCTTTCTTGTCATGTATCAGAGATTGTCTTTGAACGTATTTTTCTGATATAAAATGCAATTTTACTACAGTCTACCAAAACAAAAACGAAAGTTTTCACCTTTTCGTCTTGTCAGTGGAAATGAAATGAAGCTATCGAACTTTCTCTGTTCAGTTGTGACAGAAGAATTAATCTGCTTTAAGATAAGACATCTCAAAATATTTGATTTTGACCGATTTATAAAAATTTTCACAAATACCACGAAAACTGCAGTTTGAAAACAGCGATTTTTGATGAAATCGATATAAGCAAAACTTTCTCCCGCAACGAATTGTGATTATGAAGAGTTTTAAGCATAGCCAATCGGTACAGCTTTTGAAGGGCTATAAAACGATCATCTTATCTTATTCTGTGTTGCAAAATACAAAGAGCTTGAACTGAAAAACTGGTTTTTAGGTTAGCAAGTAATGTAAATTGAGGCTTCGCAGTATTTTATCTATTTTCCTTTATTTCTATGGTATATGAAAAAACGTTCAGTATGTTTTTTGTAAAGAATGAAACGATGAATCTTTTAAAAAAGTTAAAGCCTTGACAATGAAAACTGAACGAAATATCAATGAAATACTGAGACCGACATTCTTTATGGCCTACCCGTTAGTACAGGGACGTGCATACATAAACATACAAAAATGAATAGCCTAATTCATAAATAGAGCTAATTAGAAGTAATCAAGGGGGAAAAAAGATCATGCTTTTTATACAGAAGAAAATTTCATGAAAAGGACTGATAATATTATTTATTATTCTTCCTTATTCTTATTATAATATATACACATCATATTTGCTTTATATTTCAAAGAAGATTAAATTTCAATTATCGATCTTCGCATTTATTCAATCTTAATAATTAAAATGATGCTTACAGTATTGCATTTCAATCAATAGGGAAATTGCGGACTTTAGACTTGAGCGGACTTGGAAGGGCTTGACGTGGCTTACGGAGACTTTATCTAACTTTAAAGTCCCCAAAGTCCGCTCAAGTCGGCGGGCTTTGGGAGCTTTAAAAGATCTGAGAGAACTTCAAAGTTCGCTTAAGTCTATAAAGTCTGCAATTTCCCCCTTGATATCAATTCTATTTAGATTAGAACATTGTAAATATGGCTATCTACTCAAATACCAGTCATATCTAGACAATTGCTGACTAAAACTAAGGATAAAAGCTGTTTTCATATACACGCACACAAACCTAATGATGTTTGTGAAATGTTTGTAACACGACTGTATGCAAATTGCAACGTCATCCATTTTTCATGTACTACCTAAATAATCTCGACAGAGATGTTTATTAGAACTGAATATAAAAACAAGAATCTATTATCCTTAATAGATAAATCGTACTTGTACATCTCACATCTGACTTCGTCTTACAGGTATAGTACATAATGTAACATTCAATCACAATGCTGAGATATGTTAAAAAATAAAACACAAAGAGTAAGCAATAAGAATATGAATCAAAATGCAATATTCAAATTAATATGGTAATAATAACTGTTAAAAAAGAAAGAGAACAAAAAACTTTCACTCTAGTTCAATGAACGAAATTTTTTCATGACAATCGTACGCATAAATTATACGAAACAAATATCTGCATCACAGATTACTTACTCGCCCATTGCCAAATATAAAACAAAAAATTTTTTTCGTTAGAAAAACAATAGTAATGAATGAAGCTGAAGTATTTCGAAGAAAAGGAAATTTTAGGATACAGGAGAATAAGTTCAAAAAAAGAAGAGTTTTGCGGAGGCACATTACTAAAAGCCATCTTCTTACAAAATTATTAGACTACTTAATAATAAAAGAACCAATTTATTTGAAAATTGGTAAAAAATAAGAGATCATATACAGACAATTAATTAGAACAGATAAGAGCTATCCTAGTAAAACTGCGTGATATAAAAACTAAAAGAGATTGAGACATTTCGTGAGCAAAGATCTTGTCCATGAAATATATTTTAACATCTTTTTATTATTTTATAACTAAACTTCTTCTCAAGCAAGAAAATCAGGATCTTACTAAGAAGTATAAAAAAACTTTTACTGAAACATCTAAGATAAACGAAAAAACAGAATATGATACAAATTTCAATATCAACATGACATCATTACGTTTGTTTGTTATTATACAGCTGTATACTTTCATGATTAATAGATTTTCTTACTACTAAATTATCATTTGATATTATCATCTTTCTCTCTCTCAAAGAGAAGAAAATTTAGTCTTTTAAAAAGCTGATTTAGACTATGTTTGTTTGACCTGGATTGTTTCGAAATTAATTCAATCATGAAAAGAAGTAATTTTGTCACATTTTGAAAACAAAACAGTCTTTTTCGACAGAAAAATGGAGTGTATACAAATAGAGTGAGAGAAAAAAATATAAAACTCAACATATCCGCTTCTCTCTATGGTATAATATCTACAAATAGGGCAACGTAATCATCTGATCTGGGGACGAGAAGAAAAAATAATCATGCCATACTGATTCGTATCTTTATTACTTTTATTGAATCTTTATTGGTTTTTTCCTTTCTAAGCGTGTCTATATTATATATATATATATATATATGAGAGAAACGTAACTTTCTGGTATAATTGTAATTGTACGATATTTTTTTGAATAACTTCTGTCATTGCCGACCGGTTTCGAAAATTTTGTTTTTGTTTTACTCGCTGATGATGGTTCCACTACCACAAAACAAAAATCTGGTCAACCCGCAAAGTTGTACCCATTCAAAGTCGAAAAATCGCATTTTCCGGATTATTCATCATTATACAAATAGATTTTCCAAAGGTAGGGCAGAAAGGAAAAAAAAGTAAATAGGCCAGTTTGTAGAACTTTTATTTCTGTATCGACCTATGTTACTCATATTTTCCCGTCTTTTACTTTTTTTAATCATTCTAGGTCGAAAATACATTTGCACTTAAAAGTGTCATTTTTTTGTAGAGCGACACAAAGCGCTTTCCAGCTCAGCACAACAGCAAGCTGGAAAATCGCGAGTGATCTAGAATGAAAGAGCTCGGGGCGAGTAACAAAATGGTGTAACTCGAATATACGGTTTTGCATTCTAGGTTTTTGAAAAATGTTCAGGCTTTTAAAAAAAATCAGTTTTCACTCAATGTGTAGAGCGACAATCTGCAAATCGAATGGCGAATAACTCCTACTTCAACTTTTTTGTGCGAAGCGTTGCCGATCTCTCAGTTCAACTTTCAGATAATTACTTTAACTTCAAAACATGTAGAATTTTACGCTGTAAGAATCTGACACTATTTGTATTAAATGATTATATTCTTTTGTTGCGAGAAAGAAAGCTCTGCATTTTATATCGGTATATATATATATATCAATACATTATATATGTATTTTATATAAAAATAATATTCAATGCTACTAAAGATGGATCCTCCTAAAATCCTAAAAAACTTTTATGGAAAACTCTTTCGAGAGTCATCTTGACTTAGAAGAATTTTGCTTTGCCACATGAAATATAAGACTTTGTACAGAATTTCGCGCTGACTTTAATGATGTATTGTATTCTGATAAATAAATCCTTTTTAGTCAGATACGCTAAGAAGAAACCCCGATTAGATAGGCGATCAGTTTTCATAATGAATCGTTTTAGTATTTTAACTTCTACATGAAAGATTCAAAAATACAAAAAGATCTTTATAAAGCATTATTAACAAAAAATCGATGTAAGAGAATAGATTCATTTTTTTTTATTAAAGAATATATAGTT